GGACTTCAGCATATGTTTTTGAGGGACACAACTCAACCCATAACATACAGTCTTCCTTAAGATTCCCTTTGAGCCACTCTGGTGATTCAGGGCTCTCATGAGAAGGCAGGTCATGATCAGGGAACACCACTCAGGGCTTTGACGCGTACTTTGTCCATTGGTCTCAAAAAAGCTCACAGAAGTAGCCAATATTTTTATCATTTATTGATAAAGATACTTCCAACTAGTATGTTTCTGAATCTTTTTCCCCACGGTAACTGCAGCTTCTGCTTCCTGATCTGTTAATGACCTCATTACTAGTTATATGCTCTTCTTCCTCCTATCAAGACCTGGGAGGTTCCATCAAAGGCCAGCTCAAGCATTGCCCTGAACGTAAAATCCTCTCCCACTGGACTGTATAGATCACCCAGTTTTCAAACACCTTAATGCTTAGGGGAGTCCCTGGGTGGTGCAAACAGTTAACAAGCAGAGGCACCTCAGAAGAGAGGCCTGCTGATCTACTCTTGAAAAATTGGCCACTGAAAACCCTACATAGTACGGTTCTACTCTGACACACATGGGGTCACCATGAGTTGGAGTCGACTCAACAGCACTTGGTTTTGTTTTGTTTTTTTTAATGCTTAGGAGTGGGGCTAGTCATTTGTCTGTGTACCATCTGTCTGCCTCTACCTATCTCCTGTGTCATCTTTGTCTTCCCAACTGGACTGTGGTGGCCTTGAGGCCAGGGGACTGGTGCTAGGTGTTGTCTGGATCCCCAAGGATGGATCCAACATGCACTCAGTATCCACCGGACTCCAGGTCCCAAAATGAGTAAGGCCTGGTCCTTGCTCTCAAGAAGTACATACTTGCTGGCCAGGCAAGACAGACACATGAAAAAGGATCAGAACGGATGCATGCTCAGACTGCTGCAAGAGCAGAAAAGAGGGAACCACTAAGACCTGGGGAAGAGGGCAGGCTTGTTGGAAGTTGAGCGGGACTGTGTCTGATAGCTGAGGCAGGAAGAGCACTCCAGGCAGGGGAACAGCATGCGCACTGTGTACTCCAGGTGCTGGGGCCATATTATGAAAGTGAAACTCCTGGAAACAACCACAATGCATCAACCAGAGAGAGGATGAAAAAACTGGGGTAAAATCAGGCAATGGAATACTGTCCAGTGGTCAAGATGAATGAACTATAGTGACAGGCAATAATACAGAAGAGTCTTAGTACTATAATATTAAGAGGAAAAAAGCCAGTCCCAAAAGATTATAAAGGACATGATATCCTTTTTATCAAGTTAAATGCAACTCAAGTTTAAAATACATGTTTTTTTAGCACTGCAGGGACATGAGGTATTATATGAAAAGGAAAGCAACGGAATAACGAGCACAGGATGAACCTTGGGTGAGGGAGGCAGGGAATGGGTGTGGGAGGAGCCCAGAGCTGATGGAATTACTGTCAAGGCCCTGACTTTTGTTATGTGTGATAGGTTTATGAGTGCTAAGTACATTATTATAAATACATAAAATGAAGTGAAATACAATAAATGGACAATGATAAGAGTATGTTATCAACCAACGACTATGATTAACTCACTTCCATATACTCAAGGGAGCCGCAGTAGCACAGTGGTTAAGAGCTCGGCTGCTAACCAAAAGGTCAGCAGTTCAAATCCACCAGCTGGTCCTTGGAAACCCTATGGGGCAGTTCTACTCTGTCCTATAGGGTCACTATGAGTTGGAATTGACTCGGTGGCAACAGGTTTGGTTTTTTGGTTGTATACACTCAAGGATCAATAAAAACAAGGTTCCTTATGGTGTGTAGAAAAAGTCTAATAGCAAGTATTGGAATGATACACAGTGGGCAGCTCTGTGACTCTGAGGACGCTAGGGGGAGGTCTATAGCATGGGTAGAAGGTACACTGCTGTCCGTTATATTATTTTCTGGACTTTTCTATATGTTTGAAATATTATATAATTTAAAATATTAGATTCAATTCAATTCCTAAGTATATACCCAAATGAATGGAAAGCAGAGACTCACAGACTTGTACACCAATGTTCTTTGCAGTATTATTCATAATAGCCAAAAGGTGTAAATTGCCTAAGTGTCCATCAACAGATGAAGGGATAAACAAAATGTGGTATACACGTACAATGGAATGTTATTCAGCCATAAAGAGAAATGAAGTTCTGATACATGTTACACATGGATGAACCTTGGAAACACCATGCTGAATAAAACAAACTAGACACAAAAGGATAAACATTGTATGATCCCACTTAGGTGGAATATCTAGAATGGACAAATGCACAGAGACAAGAGTTTATTGGTGGTTGCCTGGAAAGTTGGGAAATGGGCAGTTGTTGCTTGAGGGGAGTTGAGTTTGTGTTTGAGTTGATGGAAAACTTTGGAGATGGATAGCAGTGCTGGTTGCACAACATAATGAATGTAATTGTCACTGAATTGTGCACTTAAAATGGTTAAAATGGCATTTTTTTTGTTACATACATTTTACCACTTAATGTTAGGTTAATTCATTGTAAAACAACAGCAAAAAACAATCACTTGCCTGGTGGGGAAAGTCTCTTTCCTGACAACAGCACATGCTGTGAACTGCTGAACAAAGGATCCACTGTGCTCTGGCACCCTCTGCCCCAGCCTCCTCCACCCCTCCTTTTTTTTTTTTTAAACTTTGTGTGTATGTGTGTGTGTGTGGCAATTATATATGTAACAAATCATCTGCCATTTCAACACTCTTCATGCATACAATTCAGTGACATTGATTATGTTTATCATGTTGTTCAATCATCACCATTATTTGTATCCAAATTTTCCAAATTTCCCATTACATTTAACAGCTCAGTGTCCCCTGAGCAGTGAATCTCCCTCCCCCCCTTCCTCCTACCCACCCTCGTAACCACTAAGAAACTTTGGTCTCTATACACTTACCTATTCTAGATATTTCACATAAAGGGGATCATACAATATTTGTCCTTTTGTGTCTGACTTATTTCACTCAGCCTAGTGTTTGCAAGGTTCAACCAGGCCGTAGCATATAGGAGGGTTTCACTTCTCTTTATGGCTAATAATATTCCATTGTATGCATATACCATATTTTGTTTATCCATTCATATGTTGATGGACACTTGAGCTGTTTCTGTCTTTTGGCCATTGTTAAAAGAGCTGCAATGAATATGGGTGTAGAGCATCCATTGCAAACCTCTGAAGGAAGATAGGACATAGAGGAGAAAGGATGCTCAAGCACAGTCAGTCACTTCAACCCCAGGCTGACCATAGTCTGATCACAGGTGTCCTGCAGGGAACTCCCCCTTTAAGAGCCCAGCTCCAGGCCTGGCCAAGGTCTCAGATTAGAGGGCCTTAACCACAAAGCCTCTGTCAGCAAGTCCCCTCAGAGACTGAGTTTTCTCTGATACACATGAGATTCACCTTTGCAGAAGTCACAGGGAATCTCCCAGCCTTGAGGTGATAATTATCTGTGAGTTTGGTTTCTGGACCAGTGGAGCGGATTGTGAAATGGAGATCGCAATAGCAAGGATGAGGGCCACTGCGCTCAGTTAGTGTGTTCTCTGAACCAATAAGAAAAGTCACCTTGTCTGGCATGTTGGAAAGTCTGAGAAATACTATGCTTTTCCACTGAAAGGATAAGTTCAACAGTGAAAAAACCCAGGCTGAGACGACACCTAGATTCTCAGTCATGGTCTGTGCCAAGCTCCCATGTGGACACCCGGAAGACCTGTTTTCTGCCATGGAAACCTCATTTTGATATGAATCTCTATTTGAGTTGCATGGATTAGGAATGAACAAATCCTGGTTTTATTCCCAGCCATCCTGGTTGTTGTGGGTTGAGTTGTGTCCCCCCAAAATGTGTGTTGATTTGGGTAGGCCATGATTCACAGAATTGTGTGATTGTCCACCATTTTGTCATCTGATGTGATTTTCCTGTGTGTTGTAAATCCTACCACTATGGTGTTAATGAGGCAGGACTCAATCTACAGGAGTAGGTTCTGTCTTGAGTCTCTTTTGACACATAAAAGAGAGAATCGAGCAGAGAAACAGGGAGACCTCATGCCACCAAGAATGAAGAACCAGGAGGTGAGCGTGTCCTTTGGACCTGAGGTCCCTGCACTGAGAAGCTCCTAGACCAGGGGAAGATTGATGGCAAGGACATTTCCCCAGAGCCAACAGAGAGATAAAGCCTTAGCCTGGATCTGGTACCCTGAATTCAGACTTCTAGCCTCCTAGACTGTGAGAGAATAAATTTCTCTTTGTTAAAGCCATCCACTTGTGGTATTTCTGTTACAGCAGCACT